CGCACTTTCAGTGTGTCCGACCCTGTAGAAGAGCTGTGCTTTTTCACAGCACAGAGGTGACTGTCCTCCTCCTCCCCCTCCCCTTCCTCCTCTTCCTCTTCCTCTTCCTCCTCCTCCTCCTCCTCATCATCATCATCATCATCATCATGTGGGGAATATGTAGAGGCGCAGAGCAAGCAAACTCTGGCACAGTCACACAGTAAGTCAGTACAGAAACAGCACTGCGACCCAGATAGTTGGACTCCAGAGGGTGTGTTTCTAGCCATCATGCTGTCCCTCCTCTGGGACCAGAAAGAAAACACCAGGTTGCTCTAATGTCCAGACTTTAGATTCAGGGATATTGAGAAGCAGAGACTACTGGAGGTAGAGATGACAGCGCTCGGGCACGACTCTGGTTCATGTCCGGGAACTCCAAGGCCCAGAAAGGATGTGTGGCCACCAGGTTTTCCCAAAGGATGAAGAACCGGAGGCCAAGACATGCCTCCGTCTCCACTGAATTTCCCATCATGCCTCCTGCCTCTCTGCCACATCCTAATTCTTTCAGGGTTTGGCTCTTCCGAGGACATTTCGTACACTGGGTATCAAGTGACGGACAGCTTCTCTCTTTCATAACTGTCGCTCTAAATTGGAGAAAATCATTTCTATCTTGGACAGTTATTGTGTACCTTATCTGAAATCATCATTTAAAAGGGAGGGAGGGACAAGCAGGGAGAGGTTGTGCTTGTAAATCACTCTCTAAGAGCCCTAGTAGTAAACACATAGCAATTTACAAAGTACAACAGGAACTTTCAGATGTTACAGCCAAAGCGCTTCCTTTGATGTGAGTCATCCTTGCCAGCTCTTGAGTATTAATTAAGACAGAATCTTAATCTGGGCTCCAGAGCCCTTTACCTGCTAGCTTCTAGCTCCATTTTTGCATTTCTAGATGAAAAGAGGGAAGCGGGTCAGACACATATGACCACGGCTATGGAATTAGTGCCCTCCACCTAAGATGCCCATGATTAACCAAAGGGTGCTTCCATTCCACGGGAGCATCCCACAAGGACCTTCTCAAGCCCAGAATATTTGCAGAACGCAAGGCGGGAGTTCCTGGACAGACTTCAGAGCCGAGGAGGTGGAAAACTCTTCCTGTTTAAAGTACAACTTCTGCTATAAAAGGCACTGAACAACTTTCCTTTGGAAGCTGGCCTCCTCTGGGAGGAGGCAAAATAAAATATGCCATTCCCTTCAAATGCCACCCTAGTGACGATACCTACTTCTGGATGCAATAAGCAACGCCCTTCCCATAACCTCTGCCTCGCAGGCAGAGAAGGAGCTGCGGATCTACCAGGAAAGAAGCACACGATGTAAACATAAATCACTTAAGGACTGAAAGGCCAGAGAGGGATGCGGCGGCTCCTAAAGGTCAAAAGCACAGTGTGGACCAACTGTTCAGTCTCAGCCCACCTCTCCCAGGGCTGCAGGGCTCTGGGGACCCCATGGGCTTGGGGTCAGGAGTGGCCTGCTCCCTACAACAAGACAGATCCGCAGCCAGAGGTCATCGAACACCCCAAGACTTCACCTAGGTGCCCCAGTGCAGAGACACCTACCTTGCACTGTCCTGACACGCAGATGGCTGTGCCGTTTTGGTCACAGGGTGTGCCGTCAATGACCTTCTCAGCCTGCCGCACGTAGAAGCGGTAACCGGTCGCTTGGCAGTTCAGCTCGCATTTGTGATTGCCCTTTACTGCCAAAAATGAGAGAGAAAAGAGATGTCATGACTGCAGCCTGTATCGGCGCCCTTCTTCCCCCTAGAGTTTTCATTGTAATCAAATTCATGTAACATAAAATTTACCATTTTAACCAAGGTGGACCCTGCAGTGAGTCTGGGGTACAGTATTCAGTACTCACAAGTCTGTACAACCAATACCACTACCTACCACCTTAAAAAGATAGCCAAGGCCAATGAGATAGCTCAATGTACTAAGCAACTGCTTTGGCAAGCGCAGGGACCAGGATTAGATCCCCAGTACTGCATGCCGTGCCGGTCCCACCCCCAGGTTTGGCTGAGACTCCAACCGGGTCTGGGCATGGTGGCACACTCCTGTAATCCCAGTGCTAGGGAGGCTGAAAACAGGAGGATCACTATGAGTCTGAGCTGTGTTGTGAGATCCTGGACCAAATACGTAAGTGGAGGAACGAAAAGGATACCCATGTCTGTCGGCTGCCACTGAATCCCTCCTCCTTCCCTCCTTCCAGATCCTGGCAAAAACCAATCTATTTCTTGTGAGGAAGGAGTTGAATCTTGGCCAACTGGTACAGAATAGGGATTCAATACTGAGTTAAGGGCCAGGGAGATGGCTCAGTAGAATAAGAGCTTGCCTGGCAAGCGCATGGGCCTGAGTTCAATCCCCAGTTCCAGGAAAAAAAAAAAAAAAAAGTTAATGTCACAAAGGAATTCTTGAAGAATCTTAGCCCAGAAGTCACAGATTCTACATTTAGACATCGCCCCCTCTTCTGCCACTGTCCTAGTTATACTTTACATAGCAATCCTGGGGAGTGCGAGATGTTTATGTTCTGCTTTTTGTAGGACTTAAAAGCTACACCGCTCTGTCATCTTTATGCCCCGTTGAGTGGCTACAGTTTCCTGCAATAAGTTTTCCATTATGAGATGCTGAAGTGGTTTCCATCAAATGAGGTGCAGGTCCCGTGTCCTAAGCCCGGGGTAAAACATCTCCGAGAGCTGAATTTCGCCTGTTTCTGGTCTCGCTCCCTGCCATTGTTCTTTCAACCCACGTTCTGCACCCAGCTGGGCGCCTCCTCCTCGGGGCAGCCTCTGGGCCACTGTTCGGTCTGCCTTTCCCTTGCTTGGCTGGCATCCAATTCTACCTTGTTTTATTCCTCAGACCGCCCCTGGAAACCTCCTAGGGACCCGCAGCCCACCCACCTAGCCACCCTGCCCATCATGGGGTCAAGTGGCCGCCTCTTTTTCAGCATTAACATGCTGCACTGCAGCGTGGACTCCCCAGAGCACAGAACTGCACCTGTCCTATCCTTTTGTACCGCCACCCCCAGAGCAGACCCTGGCACATAGCAGATGCTCTGTAACTTCCTGCAAAATGAAAGAAGGCACTGATAAAGGATCACTGCCCCCCGCCACTTCGGTCTCTCTTTCCTCTCTCCCCACTATATTCCCTGCCTTCAACAACTGTCTCTGTATTTTTGTCACTTCACACAAAGCCCAGCATATAGTAGGTGCTCAATAAGTGCTCACTTGATTTGTGCACTAAGGAACAATTTGGTTGCTTGCAGATTAAGAAAGAGAAAAGAAATCCAGGCAAGCTGTACTTCCATATCCAGAATAAGCAGACGAGCCAAACGTACACTGAATTTTTGAAAACTGTTTTTGGAGATAATACTAATGCTACACTTAGCCATAGACAGCATGTTCCAGGGTCATGCCTTTTTCTAAAACTCAGATTACTGGACTGGGTCACACTGATTTTTTTTTTCCTATATAACACAATACATCATATTTTTCCGGACTGTCACAGCAATGAACTTCCTTCTATTCCACAGCCATTGAAAACCACAAAAAGGAAATAACACGGAGCCTCTGAGGCCACATGGTTTGGGGAAGACCAAATTGTATGTATACTCTGAGCTCTAGTTTAGAAGTTGCAAGACTGATCGCCTACCCTGGCTTCCCAAAACATACAAGAGGTGATCTTGAAAAAAAAAAACCACAGAATTCCAGGATGGAAACATCTTTGGAATTGACCCCCAACCAAAGCATTTTATAGATTTTAAAAGACCTGGGGTGTAACTCAGTGGTAGAGCACTTGTGTCTCATATGTCAGGCCTTGGGTTCAATCCCCAGCCTGGAAGGAGAGAGGAAGAGAGAGAGGAAGAGAGAGAGAGAGAGAGAGAGAGAGAGAGAGAGAGAGAGAGGAGGGAAGGGAGAGAGAATAAGCAGGCAACACTCCTGCAATCTGCTGTCTCATTTCCTCTCTCAAGGCCTTTCTCCTCCCTCCTGGTGCAGCCAAGGCTACCCAGGTGCACAGCATCATAGGTAATAAAAGTGTCTGCGAGAGGCCACCTCATCTAGGGCAAGAGTTCGGGGTTCTGGCTTCTCTTGGCTTCTTCCCAGCAGCTCCTGTCCTTCGGGATACTACCTTTTGCAGTCACAATATTGTATTTCTCAATATTTGTAACCGCAATACTGAAGGACACCCTGAGAAGAAAAACAAAGCCTAAGCCCGAGACACTTATGGCAGATTTCCAAATGGCTCCATGCACATAACCTAGAGGAATGGCCGTAGGCCTGGGCTTCTCCTAGCTGCAGCCCAAACTATCAGCAGGGAAACCCTCTCTGCCTCCCTGGTTTAGATAGTGTTCAGGGTTTCCTTCTCAAGCTTTCAACCAGGGACAACAGAAACCTGAGCTAAGTGATACCCTGGCAAAGCTTCCTAGGATCCTGCTGCCTCTGAAAGTACTCAGCGTTTCTCTTAAGATTAAATCAGAAAAAGCAAAAGCAAAAAAAAAAGGTGAAATCAGGCTGGCCGAGAAGGTAGTAGATGCCTGTAATTGCAGCACTCGCAGAGGCGGAGGCCTGAGGAGCCCAGCCTGGGCCATTCAGTGACTCGGTGAGGCCTGTCTCCAAGGATTCTGTCAGTCTCTCTGTGGACCCTGGACATACTCCCTCAAGCCTTTCCAACTGCACCTAAGACCATACTCGCAGGGCTTCCCGTGAGGGTTTTAATGGATAACCACCTCATTCTCTTCTTTTCTCCCTTGAGTAAATTACAGCTCTGGGGCTGGAGCGGGGCTCAGCGGCTGAGAGGAGACAAACATGTGTGAGGAGGCCCTCGCTTTGATTCCCAGAACATTAGAGGCAATGCCAGCGCCGATGTGCGAGGCTGCTCTCGCGGCAGAGGTCGGCTTGGCTTTACCAGGATGGAGAAAAGGGAAGCCAGGCCAGCCAGGAGCTGGGAGCCAGGGCTGAAACACCGAGGGCGCACACTGCTCTCCTGTGCGTCCCCCCGCCCCCCACACTATTCCTTCCCTCCTGTTCTCGTCGGCTTCTAAATGCCCTGCTAACCTCCATGGGAACCCCCGGACTTCTACACACTAAACAGTGGTTCCCTGTGTGGTCCTCTAATGGGGGGACACTGCAGCCCCTGGGCATGTACTATCAAAGCAAACCTCTGGCTTTGAGGCAAACTTCCTGTGGGACCCTCCGGGGATGGACAATACACCAGGAAGCTGTCCACTACTCTAAGTGGAATGCAAGGGGCTCAAATTCTACACCTACATTTGCAGGGTGACCTAAGTCCAAATATAAGTACTCTAACTCAATTTAGGATCTCACCAGGAACTGGGTCCCTTATATGAAAAATCTCTCTGATGATGAAAGAAATGCTGGAAAATAGACAATAAGATTTAGGTTAATGAGAATAAAGTAGCTAATAGCTAAAGGATTTACTTCTACATGCAAGGTAAGGATTTAAATTAGTCATTGAGACCTATTCTCTGGGGAAAACAAAATTGATTAGGGCTGGCCAAATAGCTCAGCAGATTAAAGCAGGAGCTGGCCCCTGGCTGGCCCTGCCAAGCTGGCCCCGCCCCTGGGGTCCTGAGAGGGCAACTGAGACTGGGCATGGTGGCATGTGCCTGTAATCCCAGCTCTTGGAAGGCTGTAAACAGGTGGATCACTATGAGTCTGATCTAGTAGTGAGACCCTGAACACCCTGTAGACCCTTCCATAAAATTAAAAAAAAAAATGATGGATATAATGATACTTTAAAAAAATCAAAAAAACAAAAAAAGATAGAAAAAGAGTTACTCATTACATAGTTTTGAAAACTGAAGCAAAAGGATCTATGACAGAGATTTAAAGGCCCAAAGCAGGGGCTGAAGCAGTAGAGCCAGCATCGCAGAACCTCCAAGGGTAACTTTGGAAAGATGGGAAAGCGCAGGCCTAAAATTTAAAAAAGACCATAGGGGTGTTTTCTAAGTAGCAGTCCCATTTCCAAGAGCAGCCGTCTAATGCCTCTGAAAATCAACCTGTCCATAAACACAGTGAAAATGCTGGCAAGAGACAGCTAGCGTGGCTGTCCTGATAGCCGACAAAATGGAGCTGGCAGCCAGCATTAGAGGCAAATGAAAACACTGTGTAATGATAATGGATCAATCCATCAGGAGAGCAAAGCGACAGGGCTCCGAAACAAGTGACAGAACTGCAAGGAAAACCAGACAATTCAACAGTAGGAGTTGCTGACTTTGATACCCACTTGCAGTAATTTATCAAAATGAAACAGAAAATCATAACTCTGAGTACCATTAAAAATCAGCTAGATTTGGGCGAGCCAGATAGCTCAGCAGATTAAAATGCCTGCTTCAGCAGGTGCCGTGCTGGGGATTCGATCCCCCTCTAGGGTACACTGAGACGGTGGCCGATTGAGACGGCGTGTGGTGACTCACACCTATAATCCCAGCATTCGGGAGACTGAAAACAGACAGGTTAGTACAAGTCCAATCTGTGTAGTGAGACCACCCTGTAGAGACCCTGGACTAAATACATGTTTAAAAAATTGGCTAGACTTAAAAGATACCCACAGAATACACACCCACAAATAGCACAACGTACATTCTTCTCAGTATTCCCTAGGAGGGAACGGTGACTTCGATATCAAAGCGCAAGCCTCGATAAATTAAAAGGGATGAAATAATAAATAAATATTCTCT